AGTTGAAACATATGTTAAGATCCAGCTTTAAATGATCAAGCAAGTTACAATTCAACTTTAAGCCATCAGGTTCTAAAAGCAACTCCCCTCAATATTTTTTTTCTCTCCTAAAAAGAAGAAATTCAGCAGCAAATCGGTGATATTGTCTCGGCCATTACTGATGACGATATGCAAAACATATAATATAGACGTTTCAATCAAATCAAGTCAAGTGAGTTCAGTGCAGTGGAAAAAAAATCACCTTACTATAGCCACACACCACAGGTAAAAAAAAAAAACTGAATCTCTGATCTGTAGTCTTGATGCAGTCCTCCACGCTTGGTTTCTGTCTCAGTGTTCAGTTTACATGACGCGGTGACAAAGAGACCAAAGGAAGTCCTGGACTGCATGAGGCTTTTTGCCCTGCTGCTCTCACTGGGCCATGCAAACTGAGCCTAATGTAAATTGCCCTGCCAAACTTAAAGCTAAATGGTAAAATGATCCTGAGTCCTTGTCACCTCCACTCATGTCATTGACTTGTTGAAGTGTGCCTCAGTTGTCTGGGCTGCATGGCTGGTTCCCATTACTCCCTGCTCAAACCAATCAGCGCAGATGGCCATTACGAAGGGCTGAAATGGCTGTGCTGGGTTAAAGATGCAGGAACAAAAAGGGCAGGAGATGGGAGTGACACAATCTTACAAGCAAGTGCAATCGCGCCGTGAAGGTTGGCCCTTAAATCTGGTTCTGGATGCAATGAAATATTTACACACGTAGGGCAGCAGAACTGCATTGAATTCTCAATTTCCCTCCCAAAAGCTAATTATGGTTTAAGCTGCAATAAACTACAGACTTTTGTCTTCTAATTACACCAGCAGCGTGTTATTGGTGCTAAAATGTCATTATCCTGCACATCGCAGTCGCCGTAAAAGACAAAAAAGTGCTAAAAAGCACAATCCCACTCTAATTAGGCCTACAAAAAAGTCACATCTGTTGTCTTACTGGTGTAGCTAAATGTTTACTATGCAAACTGGATTCCAAATGTTGCAATGTGCTTTTTGACACCAGTGAGTTTCAAATAAGGGGTTGCGAATGGATTTTCTCTGCTGTGTGCATGCAGGGAAACTCGCCCTGCTCTCCAAACAGACGACTGCAGGAAAGCCGAGCTAAAGGTCAGCGCCCTCAGACACTGAGAGAAGACACGGACACATCAAAGGAGGAAGTGTGTTGTCTCTTGAGGATCACAAAGACGTGTAGGTGGCTGCTTTAAGGCTGACTGAATCATCCCCAGGGCCCTATTTTTTTCAATTATGGTTTGGTGGCTAGCTTTTATTTTTTATAGACCTAAAAACATGTCTCTAACTTGTATAGAATTTTGAGGCATTTACTTTCCTTGAGTATTTCCATTTACGTTAATGTTCTACATTTAGGAGAGAAATATTGTACTTTTTACTGCATTTATTTGACAGCTGTAGTTACTAGAGACTTTACGGATTAAGATTTCTCATGCAAAAGATAAAATATGTAGTAAAAAAGTATGTGCCTCAGTCATAATAATCAAATAATATATGTACTAACACAGCATAATAACTACTTTTACTTTTGATAAAGTAAAATGTTAAATGCAGGACTTTTTCTAGTAATAAAGTAGTTTAATGTTCCACATTCCACTACTATTTATTTTTTTATTTTGTCATTTTATATCTGCCTATAATTTATGCTGCTTTTGGTTGTAAGCCAGCCTACAATCAGTGTTTTTGAGCCACGCTGCTGCCTCTATTCACACATTTTCTTTCAGCCTCAGTCAGTCTGATGCAGTCAGATCTCTCAGCCTGAGCCGAAAGCTTTTCACGATCCAAGAGCTGTCTTGTTGGTGTCACAACATGATTGGCAATGTGTTGAGCAGAAACAATAGCCTATAACTGTGTTCAGTGACTCGAATGTATGTAAATGTTTATTAGACAGACATGCTGTTTTCCATCGGCCAGAAAATGTCTCAGTTACATTTGGCAGCTTCAGACAGCTCTGAGACCAGTCATCACATCACCTTTGACTGAATGGATCAAGCCACAAATTATAACAACAAAGCCGCTCTCAGACAATTTGAAACTACCCAGTGATTGTGTAAAACACAGGTCTGATAAAAGAAATGAGGCAGGAAGTGAAATACAGCATTTTCCCAATAAACACATCAGGAATCATTTATCATTTTTCTTCTCAGCTAGTAAGTTCAGCATATTTTATTGCCTTCAGTTTATGTCCAGTCAGTAAAAAGATGGGTTAACTCGAACCTTCAGCCAGTGAGAAACAGCCAAACAACTCAATCTTTGCATAATTTACACATCAAAACGAATTTAATTTCTGTTTTTTAAAAAGAATATATGTTTGATATAAGGGGGTGAAAACATTAATTCTACAAATATAAAAACAGCATCTCTCCTGAGTTAAAAGAGGTTTGTCTCTGAGGAAGAAGTCACTGTGAGCAGGGAAATTAAGGCCAACAGAGCAGTGGGCATCTGAGTCGCATTAATCCCAGAGCTGCTCTTGTCTAACAGCGCCGAGATGTTTTGTTCACTGTGAATCCGGTCATTATATTTAAGGCTCTTTGTTGTAAAAGAAGAGTGGGAGCAAACATGGCAACCTGCACACAATCCACCTAAAAGTCCAACCGTGGTGGTAAAAATGACAAAAAGGAATTAAAGAATTGTAATAAAATATAATGTAATTGAACTTACTCACCACTTCGTGTTTATAAGATCTGCTACGATTTCACTCTCCAGGTTCCGTGTAAAAGAAAAATAATTAAAAACTGTAGGAATTGTAGGGATATTTTTAGGAAAGAGCCTATATTTAAAAAAACAACAACTGCAGTTTACTTGCAGCCTAATAACTGCGGTTTATTAACAACATAATATAACATTTTTATTTCATCTAGATTTACCGGATGTCAAGGTTAATAGGTAATAAAAACTTAACAGCCATTATAAAAGACCAGTATGAGGTTTTTGAAAAGTTTGATCTCCGTTCATGACATTTCGGGGCTATGAAAGTTTTTTTTGTTCTGTTTTTTTCCTGCAGACCGATTTCTAAAAAAACAACCCTAAACCTCTTCCACTAAACATTTCATTGTAAAACTGATGGACTAACAGCTCGTACACAACAAAGAAAATTAGACTATCTCCTAAAAGCGACAGTTAAATAATGTTGGCCTTCCATTATTATTTTTATTATTATTATTATTATTATTATTAATAATATTGGGGGTTACATACAACATTTATATACAGGTTTTTATCTCGTCATAAAATTTGAATAATTATAGTATCTGCATTTATTCTGACGATATTTTAAACACAATTATTTGAATCAGCCGTTTTCAACAATAGTCCTCAGTGGATTATCTTAAAATGTTTTATATAGCCTATTCAGCACATTTTATACACTTTATAGGTAAAGAGAGATAGTGTGTGTGTGTGTGTGTGTGTGTGTGTGTGTGTGTGTGTGTGTGTGTGTGTGTGTGTGTGTGTGTGCATAAGAGAGACAGAAAGCGCCCTGAAGGCTTTGTGACTTTCCTCAAGACCAGAATGCCTCTATTGTGCACACAACCTCAGAACACGTTCCGTCTGTTTTCAGCTCAGCGTAAATAAGAGTTTAGTTTTAAGATACATAAGTGCGTTTGGCAGAATTGAATAAAAATGTGTCCGTGTTTAATCTTTGAGGTCCGAAAGATGCCATAGACATGATGATGAGGTATGTTCTTCCTCTGCATTTACACAGCAGCTTGAGTCATTCCGAAAAAAATAGTTTTTAGTTTTTGTTTCTTCTGATTTCTGTCCCTTTATTCTTTTCAAGTTGCGCCCCAAAGCTGAACACAACAATTAAATCTGGATTAAAATATAGAAGATTTACTGTCATGATATCAAATATTACTGTTATTCTCTCTCTCTCTCTCTCTCTCTCTCTCTCTCTCTCTCTCTCTCTCTCTCTCTCTCTCTCTCTCTATCTCTCTCTCTCTCTCTTTCTGTGTGTGTGTGTGTGTGTAGGTAGGAGATGCTGATGAGGGCAAACCAGCTGAATTCAGTTTCTCCACCTTTCATTGTATCATGTGTGTTTCAGGTTGTGGAGAAAATGTTTTCTGCTGAGAAAAAAAAAAACAGGAATGAATGCAGCTTCACAGTGGCCGCCTGCCTAACGAGGGTCAAAGTTTTATTTACACCCTCATCATTCACTCATTACAACAGTGTCCCCACGCAATTAAATCTAATTGGAACCAATCAGGCAGAGCAATGAAATGAAAATATTATCAGTTTGGGGCTCACTATTTGTACCATCTGAAAACCTGTTAATTCAATTGTCCGACTCAGCTCCAATATTAAGGATTGTAATGCAGATTATCGCATTAAATGCGCCCTAATTTAATTCTGATGGCCAAAGGGACAATTTGATAGTCGGGAAGATTATGCCTCTTCTTAACTGTGTTACACACACTGCTGGGTCGTGGCGTTGCGAGCTGGGATGTCCTCTGGGAAAAGTTTGCTGATGCTTTTTTTACGCACGAAGGAGGTTTCCCGTTTTATAGGAGACAGGGAGAAGAAAACAAAGGAGCAAAAAAAAAAAAAAAAAAGCACCAGACCCGTTGGAATAGTTGTGGATATGTAATGTTATCAGTCAGACATTAAAGAGACAATGTGGAATCAAGCGCGACATATCTCAGTTGTGTCAGTTCACAGGCAGAACCACAATGGCCACTTTACGCATCTGCGCCATTAATTGCGATCGAAACCTCGAAACCACTCAGGCTACACTCAGAATCTCGATGATGAGCGAGGACTGACATGTCAAAAATAATCTGCGCAGGTATATAGTAAACTTTAACACACACAACTGTTCGGAGAAGGCATCCTCATGGTACATTTCTGTAGATAAGTTGTGAGGAAAACAGCTTAACAAATTAAACTCTGGACCTTGCCAAGTGAACGCCTATAACTTAATCACCTTAAACACCTTTCCCCCCCCCAACTCACCATAGCACGGGATGATCCCTCCGTTGTGTCCGCTCTCCTGGTGCAGTTTGCCCTCCTCGGGGGGTGTTTTGCAAGAAGACCTCTGCATGAAGAGGTGGTATTTGCTGAAAGTGCCTTGCCCAGCTGCGGCGGCATCCAATGACTGGCACTCCTGCTGGAAGGGGCTCCGGGACTTTTCTCCGTAAGCCTGACCTTTGTTGGGCAGGAAGGCTGTGGGGCTGTATTTGGTGTCAGTGCCTGGGAATGTCCTAAAGTGGTCCGTCTGGTGATCCCTACCTTGCGCTGCGGATGGGCTATAATATGAATCCATGGATGTCATATCGCTGTATGAAACGCAGGTCTCGGCGTTCATACCTAAAAAAGAGTCAAGGGGAGAAAAAGACCAAACTTTTTTTTCTCTCTCTCTGTCTCTCTCTCTCTCTCTCTCTCACTCACTCTCTCTCTCTCTCTCTGGGAAAGGGAAGCGCAGACACCCCCTCCTCTCCCTCTACCTCATACAGATGAACATACACACACACACACGCACGCAGAGACTGCAACGCACACCAGACCGCAGCTGGGTTTGGTTATAAAACGATTCAGATCTTTTCCAGGAACCACTGTCGTTGACCAAACACTCCGAACTCCCCCTCAGGTTTGAGCACAGTTACACAAACCCGTCTTTCCTCAGAGGATGGGACGCAGATCTCCTGGCTTCAAGACCTCTCCCAAGTGATTATGCTGATGACATGAACGAGTTAGGTCGCTTATTAGCTGGAAAAAAGAAGAAGAAGAAAAAAAAAACGTTTGCAAAATTAGGGGCGGGGGGCTTTAACACATGACATTAATGCAATTTGGATATGAATATAGCCCATGAGTGATGGCACTGGGGCGGAGAGGGCACAATTTTACGCTTCATTCGCAATGGTTCATCAAGGGCAAATCATCCATACGCAGGCGATTGTGTTCTTACAGCCAACTCTGCGGCTTCGGAATAAAACTGAGTTAGTATATAAGAGCGTTTTAATACTTGAATTATCACTTGAAACGAATTTTTTAAAAGTCACATCAAACTAATGATTTATTTCAGCCATGAAAACATTTCGATATGTCACGAAAAGCGTTTAAACTTTAAGAATCTGTGACTTTGTTTTAAATTTCTGTTATTCTTTGGATGGGAAATATTAAATATATATAAGTAAACATAAATACAGATGGACGCAAAACATATATGGAATAATACTGTAAGATTATGTGTATTGGCGTCGTTATTATATTATATAATTATAAATTATTTCAGAGTTCGTTTGTCAATTTTGCAACTTTGTTTTTTTCCAGCCGATTTGGTTTGATAAACACAGCCTACTTGAACTGACTGCAAATATTCCAACATCTAAAATTCCAATTGTGCTTACAGCCATCTTTGTGAGGTGAGAAGATATATATTAATTAGGGTAGTAATAGTGAGTTATTTGTAAATCCCCTTTTAGTATGCAGCCATTTAGGAAAGGCCACCTAATCTATGCAATAAGTTGTTTAGAGCCTAAACATTGCGCAGACGGTAGACAAGTTGTGCACCCTGCAACGAAAAATCCCAATATTGCAGGTCAGTCAACAGCACGCTGCTTAAACCCGTTGATGATAACAATGATTTTTTTAGAGGCCCTGAGTTGTGTCGCTTATATTGCATTATTAATTCTTTACCGCCAAGGTATTTGCTGTTTTGACAATAGTGGTATTCAGATTTTACATTTTAAACATGCACCAAATTCCCACTGTCTTGTCGTTCATGGCTGAATCCCTCTGTAAGAACATGTTGCGTTTTTCTGCCTGATACATTACGTTTAATTATTTGCCATCCCCTTTTTGAATCATGTAAGTCCTTAACAATAATAAACAATATAATTTATTTTCAGTGTTGTTTAATACAGAAGCCTACAATTTAATTCAACACAATACTGTGTTTTGAGTATTTATCTTTATTTATATTTTTTTTTTTTCTAAAAGCAGTTTCATGTCAGTAAAATTAAGGGAGACATCTAAATTATTTCCCAATATTACAGTTTCCTTATTGTCCAGTTTTGATATTGTTATTACATATGTGTTAGCCCAATTATGAGACGATACTACATATGAGCTGGGATATCATGAAATTTGCACACTTAGTTGAATCCTTCACACTCATACACAAGATGAAACAGTGGGATCAATGAAAAAAATATGTACAAGCTATTTGTTTAAAATATTACCCCATAAATGAGCACAGACAGACTCTGTTTTTAGTGAGTGTATATGAAAGAGAAAATGTAATGCCAGCACAGAAATCTATCTTCGACCATGCACAATCTCATATAAATACATGTGTAACCTGAGATAATTTTGAACGTGTTTTTGAGAAACATGTTCACAGATGTTTCTGTTAATTGTTCTTGAACTTTTTAAAATTCTGGATTGACAAAATACGAGACAAACAACACACAGATTCGGTCTGCGGCAGCAGTTATGCAGGTGTTTGTTACTCCTCCGTCACACTGGAACTCTCCAGTAGCAGAGCTTTTTATGTAAATGAAGAATGAACAGGACACACTCAATGAGCTTAAAAGCAACTCAGCTATAAGCTATATATAGTGTGCAAATATACTGAAACAAACACACAAACATATTCATGCAGTCATCCACACATGGTGGACATGTGCACACAAGCACATGTGTGAGAGAGAAAAGAAAGCAACTGTGAGAAAGAGAAGTCGAAATATGCTCCATTTACAAGATTGGATTTCATGTCCATCAGGCTGAAAGGTGTCCATACTTGTACGTCTGATGCAATGTTCATGCTCTGAAAAAGTCTGGCTCGCACTCAGCTGTGAACTGACTGTCTCAAGGGGGGAAGATGAAATGACTTTACAACAGTTTATGTTTCATCTAATACAGTCAAACAAATATATAATTGCTCTGAACTCTCTGTCCACATGTCAGCAGCATGATTTATGGCAGTGAACCAGACTTGATGATTACTTAGCTGAATTTTCAACCTGTTGAAACAGTATACTTCTGTCTGTGCTATTCTTAGCAGTGAGCGGATGTTAGGTAATGATCTTGTAATGTAATTATGTTACAGCTTTTACACAGATTTTCAGTGACAGGGTGTATGTTACTCTTATGATTTCTACAATGCAAATCAATAATACTTCATGCTTCCTGGTGGGGTTCTACATATTTCAGGACTTTATGTTCAGCAACAGGCACCAGAACTGAAAGGTCATTAGTCATCTTATAGATAAAAAGTTGTATTTGTGATATTCAGCGGGAAGCACAATGAACACCAGCAGGATCCTGAAACACCATATGTGCCTGAATATTGTCTAATCTGTTTTTATCTGTAGTGTAGCTCCAGGAAGTCTGCAACCGCTGTAAATAAAGATGGAATATAATGTGTTTTATATTTCCATTGGCATGTTTAGAGTGTGGTTCATGCTTTGGCCACAAGCATGATGTGATCTCCTTTTATTTCACAGGGAAAAGTGTCCCCAATTTTACTAACTGTAATTGCTTTGTTATAAGAACCATGCAGTCTCTCTCTCTCTTTTTTTTTTTACATCCCTGAATGGTCAGAGTGAGAGCGAGAGAGACTGTGTTCCTCACTATTTGAAAATTATTTACGTGTCAGTTTTCTGGCAAAGCGAGTAAAAGCTTCCCCTTAACAGTAGGCCCACCTGCAGTGAATAAGGGAGCATTAAAACATCCACGCACACACACACACATGCACACACACACACACACACACACACACACACACACACACACACACACATAGACATCCACCCTCACACCAAGTGCATTCATGCATGCATATACACACTCACACATGAAAAAAAGAAAGCATATTTTACTTTCAGACACACAAGTTGCGTCTGTCTCTATAAAGAACAATATTTAGCTAAATTCCTTTAGACAGAAGTCCCCCACTGATGACAGACGTTAAATATTTAAATGCACTTATTTTAGTGATTCAAAGTAAAATAAAATCATACATTTGATTTGACTGTTTTTATTTTCCTGTGGAGAGACAACTGGTGTAAATCTACTAGTTTATGGGGACCATGTGATGGCAGTCCTCTAGATGATAAAACAATAATTTGATTAAATCTATTACATATTTTATTGAATTTTACTCTGTATATACATTTATTCATTGGGAGCAGAAAGACAAACTGCTTGGGATGAGGACTAACTTATTCTTTACTTACGCATTTTTATATAAATAAATTATGGATCATTTTTGTAATTACCTTAAATTGAGATTCTAAGTTTAATAGTTGGGGAAATAAAGAGAATATATTGTTGTAATATCCATCCCTTTTGTCAGTTACATACACTGTATATACACTACTTAAAGATGCTGGTTAGAACACACAGTACATGGGGTTAATTGGTGTAAAGGGAAGTTTTTAGGAAGAGAAAATGTCAGCAGACAGTCGGCAGGTTCTTCTTAAATATTTGTCATTGCCGGATACTTCTAAACTAAGAGTCTATTGACTCATCAGCCATGACTAATTTTTTAGGAAGCCCTGTGTAATTATGTTTTATTTTCTGAGTTTTCCTCTCTCAGTGAAATACATAAAGACATTGTCCTAATGGCACAATGAGTAAGACTGTTGTCACAGCCAGTGACCTTAAAATGGCCCTTTAGTGTGTGCTGTTTTCAGATGCCTTGTTCCACTAATCGGACTTGCAAGATATTTGCGAATGTGGGGGTTAAAAGAAAACATAAGGACACGGAAGAGACATGAGCCCACATCCTCGCTGCACTGACAACATTAAACTTTAGCCTCTCCAGTTTGGCTTTAGCCTGTGGCAAAGCAACTTGATTGAGGCCTTTGATGGGCATTAATACACCGTGGAGAGGCGGCTTTGTTCGGGAATGGAAATGAACATAAAACGGAAAGCGGAAAAGGAAGGAGAGGGGCCCACAAGCTGATCTTATTTAATTTCACATAAAAGAGACATTCCATCTTCACAGAGCCTGTTTAGGCATCTCAGTGTACAAAAACACAGACTTTCGAACATACTGGGGATCATACGCAGTGTGTGTGTGTGTGTGTGTGTGTGTGTGTGTGTGTGTGTGTGTGTGTGTGTGTGTGTGTGTGTGTGTGTGTGTGTGCACAGCAGAGATTTGTTGAGCATTTCTGGAACCAAAAAACAGCACAGTTTGGGCCATTTTGAACACATCACACATGGCAGGAAAATTAAAACGGATTGTAATAACATTTCAGTGGCACTGGCCAAATCAGCATCACGGAATGTTTTGAGCCACTACCTGGCATAATGACGGGCGGCCCTGCCCACAGGCAAAACATCTGTAAATTAGTCTTGACCGCATTGTCTGTCTTTTACAGTGTAAAAAATGAGCTAAACTCTGCTCAACTGTTTCATCTTTGTGACATGCAAATATCTGCAGTGTATCTGACTGAATCAAAGATTGCCCTCATGTCATATCCTATTACAGTGTTTTCAGTGTGGAACAACAGCACTGCACCAGTTGTGTGCTGGACTCTTTGATGACTACTTGACTCAACCCAGTTCATGTATTTTCAATATAGACTCACGCTTCTTTTTACAATCTTCTATTTTTTAACATGTATCACTGTGTATTATTATTCATTCTACTTATATAATGGCTCTTCCAACTCATATTTCTTACTATGCTTTGGCCTATTGTG